GGGTCTAAGTTTTCTAATGTCAGCTAAAATTAAACTGACCTAACAATAATGCTTAGCCCGACCTTAAGAGTGTTTCATGGGAAGTTCTGCTGACGTAGCAACTTGCTGTCACCAAAATGGGATGTTCTTATTGTTCTGCTCCACTCTTGATTGGAACTCTTAGTTCCCTGTGTTAGTGTGCACTAAGGCCAGATACACCCATGAGCTGAATAATTTGCTGATGTAGCGAAAAACTTCAGGTTTTCTGCTCTTCTGCAGTTTGGCTTTATTGTCTTGTGGAAACACTTGACAGCTAGTGCAAAAGAAGTGGCTAGGAAGTAGCAATGTTGTCTCTCTTGCTAGTGGTATGCTGTTTAAGCAGGCCACGGTTCTATAGCAGGTAACAGAATGGATTGCTTTAGTAATTAGACTTGTGCATGGCTGTTCCATGTAGAAAATCTCTAAACCTGCTGTTTATTACAACAAATAATAAGGCTGGTAGTGTGGAGACTACTCTCTCATTTTGTAGCATGAGCACTTTGTTGCATTAAGGAGGTGGTTATATTTTCAAGACCCTGTATTTCCTCAGTATCTTTTTTCAGTTAGTGAGAGAAGTTTGGTTAAGAATTACTAGTGAACAGCTTCTGTTACCACAGCTCCTAGTTCTAATGGTAGAAGTGAGTTTTAGGGTTTTTTGTGGTGTTTACACTTCAAACTGCTTTTTGACAAGCTAAGTGATAATGGTAAGTGCCTTGCTGTTTTGAGTAAGATTCTTGTAATGGTCTGAAACTGGAAAGCTAGTGAACACAATATAAATCTGATTAAAAAACTTTGGAAAAAATGATGAAATCTGGTGGTTATCTGAAATAAAACAATAGCTTGTACAATTTGGACAGATACATTTGCAGTACTGGGCCTTGAATCTGGTCTGTGTGGTGATGTGAAGGATGGGTGGAAAAATGAAGAGATACTGCACCTCACTTTGGGGAGGGAGCAGGGAGTGTCAGAACTCAAAAGGACCAAAACCATGTTCCTCTGGAAGGTGTTTTACCAAAAATATTTGAACAAGAAGTTTATGCTTTCCCTCCCTGCACTCTCAAATGAGATAATCCATTGTTCAGCTTTGAAACTATTTTATCTTAAGACTTTAAGTTGAGGTAGGGCGGTCTCATGGTGTTAATAAGTAAGTGTGGAGCCATGAATAGTAAATGACTGCTTTTCTTCAAAGTCCTCTAAGTTGGCAAAATTAGAAAGGAACTGTTGTAGTTTGAGAAGCTGAGATGTGGACTGTCAGTGCCTGCATGTGACTAACAGTGTTATCTGTGAAATAGGTTAAGAGTCTTATTAGCATGTTTGCAAATAGATTGGAAAATAGGAGTGTCAAGTAGATCGACTAGGAGGAGTATCCACCTGTTTAACTTCTCTTAACTTTAGACACAAGGTAGTTTTGTGATAGACTTAGATGTGAAGTATTACCAGCATGGATTGGATCACTATGTAATCAAAACATCAGTTAGTGCGTAGGGACTTAGTTAAAACTGAAACATCGAAAAGTACTGGAGATGGCAATAATACCAGGTTGCATATGAAACAGTACTGGACAAGCTCTTGCTGATCAAAACAAGGTAAATCCCCTGTCTGTTGCCTGTTCAATCTGAACAGTAGTACAAACTCTTTCATTGAAAGAGGAAGTCTGGCTGACTAGTACAGACAAGGACTTCTAAAACATTTGTACAGGCTGAATGATATGGTTAGGTTCAAAGCTTTGACATGAAAGGGGTCGGGTTGCTATATCACAATATGATACTCAAGTAATTATTGTAACCCACCAGTAAAAGTCATCTGACACTGTCTTCAACTAAGCAGGTTATGCGAGAACCTCATTCCATGTTTCAAAGTCATGCTGGCACATACAACCTGTCAGAACACACATGATTGAGGAAACGAGAGGGAAGACATAAGCTATTTTTTCTGTCTTCCAAGTCAGCAAAAAGAAAAGGGGAAAATAGATCCACAAAAATTGTGTCAAATCTAAAGAAAAATGAAAGAAAACTTCATGATGCTGTTTTTGCCTTGAAGTTACTAATCAAGATCCTATTTTGTACGTGAATACAAATTGTTTCCTTAAGGGATGCTGAGAATGATAAGCAAGTACTTCAGTATTGTGAAAGGGCAAGCAAAGGAGGTCAGACTTCAGTATTAGATTTCAAGAGGAGGAGAGCTAGGCTTTATTAAAGCAATAAGTGTGTCCTACACATCAGGACCTTGGATCAGTTAGAGATTAATAATGTGGCCTTGAAGTGTCTTGTTCTTCAGAATCTTATGCGTTCTAAGCCTCTAAAGCTTTATTTTGGAGTAGACATGTAGCTGCTACTCATTATTCAAGTACAATCTTTGAGCAAAATATTGACACTCAAGTGGAAGTATTTATGTAAAAGGAAATACCTATCTTAGTCCTGAGTCTTGGAGAGCCCTGAATATCAGCAGAGTCATTAACTTGCTAGTTTGAACTGTTAGCTTGATTGTTCAGCAACCAAAAGAAGTTAGTTAAATAACAACTGGCTGAAGATTAAAACCAGAGATGCTATTGCAAATGAAAGATGTGGTTGTTCTCACTTGGGCTTTAAACTATTTTAAAAACTTTAAACACTTTGGAGTATATATACTTATATAAACTGTATGTAAGTTCAAGTTAAATGATTAGCATAGACCAGTTGATTTTTGTCTTTAGAGTCTGAACATATGTCAGAAGATGAGATAAAGGTGTAAAATTTGGTGTAATGATCTATTGGCTCTACTTCCTTTATTGGAGAAGGTGAGTGAATAATAAGATGTAACTGATTAATGCTCTCTAGCTGCAAGTTTGTGCATATATATATAATGAGGCCTGCTCAGTCCAGCGTGTAAATCTTGAAAGTAGCAGCAATAAAAAAGTTTGACTTATGAAAATATTCATACAGGTCATGTGAGAACACAATGTTCTCATGGGACAAATGAGCTGTTAGAAGTATTCCTTGATGGAAAAAAATGTTTTACTTTCACATCTTCAAAAAAGGGATAACTGTTAGTTGACTATTGACTTCTAAGATGTACTCTGGTCATCTTTATGTAGCTAAAGCCTTGAATTATTGGAAGTAGAGTTGTCAAAAAAAAAAGGAAAAAGAACAGCTTGTGTTCCACTAAATACGATGACTTTCCAATTCAGTTTGTTACCTTCCCAAAAGTCCAAGCAGCTTTTGTGTAAGTTTACTTGTAGGGCTTTTCTGTACTAAGTTTGTTGGAGTTATAGACAGCTGATCATTCTGTTAAGGTTCAGTACAGGTTAAGATTCAGTAGATTTAAATATTGCGAATTGCTGATTTCTGAACAAAAGCATGATTTTCTTTACTTAAATGACATTACAGAATATGTATGTTCTGTACATTCTGAAATACATTGCAGAAATGTAACTTGTTAGCCTTATTTATATATAAGGTAGACAGCAGTAGTTAAATACTTTTTAAGGAACACTCCACCTTATGCTTAAATATAGCAATGGCAAGTGGAGACAAAGTTCGGGCGGAATTCTGCACGTTTCAGTGTTCATATAGTTGCCTTCTTTCCAATGTCTGTCTCAACAATATGTATTAGTTCAAGAGGCATGAGGAGACGAGACAAAATGTTCTTTCATTACTTGTGGATTAGTCATGTTGGATATTCTTTATATGAAACTTACTTATTCATTTTTTTGAGTTTTCTGGCTATTCTTTTTTCCCCTCACCAGTGTCTCTTAGTGACTGGCATATTGACAATCTTGGTATAAAGTTCTGGCTTAGTTGGATTTATTTGTGCAACTTAAATGTTTTCATACTGTTGGCATTAGTAGTTTTATACTGAAGGAATCTATAGCTGAATCTTTAAATCACTTGTTTAGGTGACTTCATTGTCTTAGTTATGGTTTGAACACTGAAAAATCAATTGATGGGAAATGGAAAGCTTTCAACAATGGACTCATACATAAAGGCATATAGAGAATTTTTTCCTGAACACATGGTTTCTCTTTTGTGGGAACTTGTTGACTCAAAAGGCAGTTAATGTCTCAAGTTGAATGACCTCTTCATGCTTGTGAAAATTGGGCTACTAAAATTTAGACTTGAATCTTGTTGCATGGGTGAACTTTCTCAGTAACAGCCTGAGTACTGATTTGATAACTGAAAAGAAAATCAGAGCAGTTGAAATGGCTCCATTAAAACTTCAGCACAGTAAAAATAAATGCAGTGTGGACTAAGGCTTTGATTCTTTTTCATCATGTTAGTTTACTCCAAGAGAATGAATGATTGAAGTTACTGGAGCATCTGTTTGGCAAAAGAAATTGAACCTGTGGTTTAATGAACTGCTTTGTCCTGATGGATTTCCTTTCTTGAAAGGAGGTGATATAAAATGCTGAGCTCAGAATGTAGTCGCTGCTGTGGAAAGTATTTTAGGTATTAAACAGAAATACATTGAATCTTAAGCAAACACCGACTGTACCTATTCTGGCATATTTACTGTGTTAATACAGAGGGAAGATCTAGTGTGAATACTCCGCACTGCAGTGTAGTGGAAAGATTGCATATGTATGATGGTACATATCTTTATTGGAAACTAGGATACCAAAGCTAAAATCAAATTCTTCAATTGATTGTCACTGTTAGGATTGAGTAGTTTGTGGGGTTTTGTTTTTTTCTTTGTTTTTTTATCTAGTTAAATTCCCGAAAGATTGATATACCAGTTACATAATTATTAGGTCATTTTTATAGGAAGTTGTTTATTAGTGATAGTATTCTCTGAAGAATGGTTGATCTATACCTAGCTTTGATGTTTCTGCTTAAAGCATGCTTTTGTAATGTTTCCACATTGCTGTGAATCAGCAAGAATACAGTTATTCAGAAGAAAGTAGGAGTTCTCTTTGAAAAGGCAAGCTACTTGCTGAAGAAGGCTTAATGTGAAGACTTAGAGGCATAACCTTCTTGTGTACCAACTAATGATTGCTTTGTTTTTAGGTGCCTTAGCTGGACCAATTGTTGATCCACATGTGACAGCAGTTTGGGGGAAGAAGGTTGCACTGAAATGCATAATTGATGTAAATGAAACAATAACACAAGTTTCTTGGGAGAAGATACATGGTAAAAGTTCACAGACTATTGCTGTTCATCATCCCGAATATGGAATATCTGTTCAAGGAGAATACCAAGGAAGAGTGTCATTTAAAAACTACTCACTTACTGATGCAACAATCATCTTAAAAAATGTAAGCTTTTCTGATGCAGGAGAATATATTTGCAAGGCAGTTACGTTCCCGCTTGGAAATACACAGTCATCAACAACTGTAACAGTACTAGGTAAGTCAACTTCTTTATGAAAGGAGGTGAAATTAATAGCACAAACTTGTTAGTGAAATTCAGCAAACTTAACAATGCGTTGTATTTTACCTTTTAACCCAGTGACAATACAAAAATATACTCTCCAGTCTTTCATAATAGGCGTCTTGGTATTCTTACCAACTTTATTGAGGTCTTTTGGGTCTTGCTTCTTCAGAACTTGCTCTTTGATTGTCCAGATATTAAAAATAAATAAGCAATTCCTATTTAGGCATTGTGCTAATCTAAACATTTGGACAGTGCTGTAGAACTTAAACCTGGCAATGCTGATACTGGGGACCTCTGTGTGCGTGTGCTGAGAAGCTGCCAAACACAGCTTTAGCTACCACCTTGCCTAAATTCCCTCATAAATTTGTTGCTAATATGATAAGTTAATGTAGCTGCTTGGGGTTGGTGATGTAAACTGTTCTTTGCACAGTATAAATGTAAAGCAAAACTGCCTAGACTATACTGGGAGTTGTGAGAAGGAGACAATTTAAGCCCTTGACTGGTGGTGGATAGTCATAATGTGAAGCTTATATAAACTCAGGTTTTCGCACAAACTAATTTTGTCTGTCTTGTTGAGGATTCAGCACTGCTGTCATAAAGGACTAGTACTGAATCACAGGTAGACTTAGGTGATAGTGCAGTATGAGGTGAAATGATTACTCCATCCTGAAACTTGAAAACCTATTGACTTGCCCTCTCCTTATAATATTATACTTTCTTATAATAGAACAAGTTACTTCTGTATCTGCTGCAAGTAGTCAAGTGATATTTTTCTACGCTCAGTGAGTCCTCAATGACTATTTTTGTGTTTAAAACAAACAAACAGACAACTTTTTAGGATCTTCTTGGTCTTTCATCTCTGCTTTCCATGGTAGTAGAATACTATGAGATCAATCAGATGGCTGTAGCACAGTATGTCAACTGGTTTTCGCCACAAGGTGGGGCAAAATAAACATATCAAAGCAAGTGGCTTAATCCAATTTGAAACAAGTAACTTGATCAAAAGTTCCACGTGATATACAAAGCATGTAGCCTTATGGCTCTCTTTTTCACCTGTCTTCTGTCTGTATTACAAGGGGCTATGTCTGTGGCTATTGTAGCAGTCTTTCGACTTCAGGTTTCAGCTATTATGCTTTATCAACATACAGTGGGAGGTTCTTATTGTTCTCCTTCATATCTCCTAGTCAATCCCTACTTCTATGATTTTTTTTTTCAAATCACATTAGTAGTTGTGTGCATTTTGCCTTTCATATTTTAGGTTTATGGAGAACATGAGGAGGAACTTGGAAAGCAAATGTATGGCCTGTGTGTGGTGTTCTGCATTTGAAAATGTAGAAGGACCGCAACTTGCTTGATAAGATATATATTATCAAAACTTGCAGTTGGAATCGGTAAAGTAGTATTTGTCAGGCATACAGTGGTCCTGATCATAGTGTTTTTTCATAGTTGATGATGTAGTTGGTTGCTGATAATTGTAAGCCTCTCAGTGACTTGGTGTCAACCTCTGAATTGAAATAACCAACTACTACTTGTAAAGATGCCTTTCCATCCTAGTTAGCAGCTGCTTGGCTTGCATGTATAGCTGGGTAACCAACCCTCTGTTGGACTTACCTATTTTCTGTGGCCTCAGCAGAGCATTTTCTGTCTTTCTGAAAACTCTTTGCTACACTGACATCTAGACTTAAATAGTAAAAGTTCTGGGGAAGTAATGGTTTTCAGAATATGCATGTCATTGAATAATTCTTGAGCTTTACTGGCCTGAGCTCAGCAGTCCCAAGCTCAGCTCAGTCTTCGGGCATGGAATAGTTCCAACCAAAATTTAAAACCTGATGTGACTTAAAATCAGCTTTATTCTGACTGCATTCTTCCACTGTTCTAAAAAATCTCTCCTTTAATTGAGGAGAGAAAAGTTCATGTCCTGTGGCTGAAACTGTTTCCAGTCCAAGCAGCATTGCCTTTTTTCCTAGTCCCTGTCTGTTCCTACTTAGCAAAGAATGTTTCCTTCCTATGTGTAGTGGACATAATTAACTTAATCATTTAGTAGGTGCTTGTACACTGTAAGGCAGAGACACTGAAGACAAATGCAGGAAAAAATAACTACAGGATAAAACGTCCTGTATTCTGCCACAGTACAGTGATCACTTAAGACCGTATTTAGAACCTGTGTCTTATGCTACTTAAGCTTAACAGTCTTACCACATTTGGTGACTTTGCTCACTCCCAGTTTGCTTTGCTTAGTGCTTCATGTTGTCTTAGGAAATGCACTGTAAAAGAAGAGGTTAAGACAGTGAAAATGCTTTTTGGGTCAAACAGGTGTGTTGATCTTGTTTAAGACTTTGGTTTTTCAAACTTGCCTTGTTAAACTAGGGCAAAAAATTGCAAAGAACTGTATGTTAAGCTGTTTCGTTCTCAAGATGCTGACTAAACTGGCCAAAATGGTGTTTGAAGGCAGAAGAGATGGTGTGTGACAGGGTAGTTTGCAGAGCTAACAATTTTATGTTACTAGGTTGAACGCTGTACATGACTATTTTAAATACTTGGTTTGGTTTGACTCCCACTGTCTCGCTAAGCTAGATTTCTCAGCATGGGTATTGATAAAGTAGATCTTGTTCTTCTGCAGGCTAGCTCTACCAGTGCTACAAGTGAAGAATATGAGCTGCACAGATGAGAAGGGCAAAGGTAGATGTAGGTCTGTCACCATGAACAGATCCCAGATGCACTGAGATAGAAATTCTTACAATAAGGAATTAAAGGAAGATGCATGTCGGACAGTATGGAAAATGGATCCTTCTCAGACAGTTCTAATAAAGTAATGGTGTTTGAAATGTGCTAGCTGCTGAGATGTACACATTCCTTTTAAGTACCACGCAATACTCCAGGCGAAGAATAAGTATCAAGTAGATAACAAATGAGTGAACTGACTGGTCTTTAAAACAAACAAAACAAACAAAACAAACAAAACAAACAAAACAAACAAAACAAACAAAACAAACAAAACAAACAAAACAAACAAAACAAACAAAACAAACAAAACAAACAAAACAAACAGCAATACTCGAGGCTAAGAATAAGTATCAAGTAGATAACAAATGAGAAAAAAGAATGACCTACAAAACAAACAAAACAAACAAAACAAACAAAACAAACAAAACAAACAAGGATCAATTAGTGGGCAGGATAAGTTACACAGAAATATAAGGCCGCTGGTTTTGAGGGGAGAGAAAATAAAAAGTAGAAATACTGTTTTGGAAAGAAGTTATTCAAGTAAATGTCAGTTGTGATGAAGAGGCTGACAATTCCCAGTGTCATGCTGTTGCCAAGGAATTAGTGAATTTAATGGTAAGTGGAAATAAGCCTGTTTGTGTTGTAATCATGCCAATTTTTTCCAGACCTCCTGTGCACAGTGGCAGAAGAAAATTAGTTTTAAAACTAACATTAGCAGTTGAAAAAGGCTTATGAAGTACTTAAAACCAGGAAGAAACTTTGAGGCCTGGAAACTTAATGGAATAGGATTTAAGACTTTTTTTTCTGACTGCTTTATTATGTTGTTTTTCAACAAAGAAGTGTAAGGACTTAAGCAACAAGAGATCTCTGATTGTCCATGTGAATGTAAGGTGAAGCTAGGGTAAGTAGGGTTAAATTAGATAGTGGTCATGAATCAGTAAAGGGGCTGGCACAGATCCTCAAATTAGTTGAGACTTCCTACACAGCTGCCTATCTAGCTTCCATACTTCAGCCACCATTACTTATAATTCAAATATAATTCATGCTGCAATACTGCTTTGGATCTGCGGGACTATTCTTCTCTGAAGATACATGAATGAGATGATTCATGCACGCTGACCTTTTGATACATTGACTGAGTGGACAGAGGTTATCTACTCTGATTATTTAAAGGGGATGGGGGAAAGCGCCGTTGCCTTTGAGCTCTTACATTGTGGAAGCAGGTCCCTTCTGCTTTTGGATCTTTGTGGGATTGGTGGCTTCCTGTCCCAAACTAAGTGTTGTCCCTACCATCTTTTTCATTTGACCTGAATAGGGCATAATGTTCCTACTGAATGGGTGCAGCAGCTTCTCTTAATGTTCTCCCAATCTCCTTTGTGTATACCATACCATGATCACCACTGTGAGCAATGAAAGTCTGTAGGGCATACTTCGGTATGATTCATGTGGGACAAAAGAGGACTGCTACAAGAGTCTGTATATAGAAGTTACACTTCATTTTAAAAAAAAAAAAAAAAGCCAGCCAAAACCCCCACAAAAAACCCCCTCCAAGCCCCAGACTTGGGGTAATCTTTTTTCCAAGTTGAAAATCAGTGAAATCATTTCCCATTGTGAGAGGTGAGATGCCAATGGCCCCTTGGAATTAGGGATTCATTCACGAGGTATTTATCTTAATCCATGAGTGAAACAGCTAGGAAGGCTGTAGAATGAGTAGCTGTGTTTCTGCTGTTTTTGATTCAGTTGTTGGGACAAAGTACTCCTGAAGGTTAGACTATAGAAATAAGTATCATAACAGCAGTTGCTTTCCACTTTTTAGTATGTGGCTATTTGGTTATCTTGTAGTTGATGTATAGTCCAAGAATCATGATTTATGGGAAGATGTGACAGTAGAAGCCTAACCATTTGTGAAGTATTAAAAAAACTAAAGCACCAAAACACATTGGACTGGTAATAAGTATATTTTATGAAGTTGAGTAGTTCTGAATAGTTCAACTTTGTGTCTTTCTGACAAGTGTAAAACCAAGAATTACACAATGAAATGAAACTGGCCAATCTCACAAATTTCAGATATCACTTGAGAAAGCAAAGTATGCTTTTTTTCGTAATAATGATAATCTTAGGAGAAACTAGGCTTTTCAAACCAGTCTATATCCTGTTCTCTGGCTATTATCACTTAATACTTCAAAGACTTTTTTCTAAAAGCATGGTAAGTGAAGCAGCATACTGAGTAGTCTGCTTTGGGTCTGGAGATCTCTGCTACCTTAGTTAAGGCTTCTTGTTGACTTATGTATCCCTTCACAAAGGGATAGAGGAAAAATTCTGGAGTTGTGTACTCATTTATTTTTGAGGAAAATTCAAAGGAATAGAATGTATGGAACTCTTATTTCCAGCTGAAATGATTTGGGTCTTTAAGTTCTGGCATGAAAAGCTAATGATAGCTGCTAATTTAGTTTATTTCACTGTGATGGAAATCTTGGGGGCGGGGGGGAGGATACATCAAAAATTAGTATCTTTATGCTTGTAAGACACTAAATGTAAATTTGGGTGTTTACTTCTGCACTTCAGTAATACTATAGAAGCTATTGAAAAGGTTACTACTAGTGATTTTTGGGGGAACAAGGTGGTAATATTTATGTTAAATCAGGGAAACCAAACTGTGGGTCAAATAACAAAGCTATACAATGTTAAGTTCTCCATACTAGGTTTTAAAAGCTTTTTTCAGATGATAGAATGCTTCATATGTACATCAGTTCAAATATCCAAGCTTATTGCAAAAGCTTTAGTTGTTGGTAGTGTTGGAGAGCAGGGAATCAAATTTTGAAAGAAGCTCTGTTAGAGATGCTTCAGATCTAGAAGAATAAATATAGGACTTGGCAGAAAACCCCTGCTGTTGGCTTATTTACAGTAGGGTCACTAATAAATCAGAGGGTAGACATTCAGAGAAACAAAATAGAAAATAATCCACTCTAAATATCAGCCCAAACAACCTTTAATTTGGTAATGAGGTATATTCTTCAAGCGCTTGACGTACTTTAAGTATAGAACATAAAATATATTTTTATAAGGTTATCCATTTAACAGTTGCCTTTCCTTTTAGTGTAATTGAACAAATAATAAACCACCTTCTTGAGACACTGAGCAGAAAAAAATCAAAAACTGATTCTTGCAGTGAATTCACTCAAGCTGAAAATATTTGTTACCTAGTTCTCTTGAAAGTATAGGTAGCTGGAGAAGTATCTTGCCAGGTATTGTGAACTCTGCTCTATTTCATTTTAAGATATGTGGGTCAGCTTCAACTTCTTGGAAAGAAATTCTGTGAACTAAACTTCTTGTAGGATATGGAAAGGCACAGAAGTTGCAAGAGTTGTCTCTGCTTTGTGATTAGTGAGGGCTGGTCCACTGAGGTGGATTCTGAAGCATTATGGTGTGTAGTGATGTCTTCACTTCAGAGGACTTCGATAGCCTCATTAGATCAAAAGACAAGGATTATGTAATAGGCTAGTATGCTACTGGGAAACGTGTTATCTTCTAGTACTGATGGTAGAAATGGGCCATCCTAGAAAGCAAAACCTTGGTTTCTATCTGAAGCACCAGATGGTATTTCTGACTTAGGCTGCAACTGGTGGATGGCTTGTACAGGGCTGACAGAGACTTCTTAAATAAGAGAATTTTTTTAAAAGCTTTTCAGTCCATGGTCCTCAACAGTAGACTTGTACATCAGGAACTCAACTTCCTTTTACAAGGAAGTGTGTTCTCTAAGCCTCTAAAGTTTTGGGGTGAGCAACAGGTTTACAAGGAGGTCAGATCCTTCCACTTGCGTATTTCTTGAGTCTTGGACATAGTATTGAGTTCAAATTTTTTACTTCTATAGGTGATGGCCATCTATATAGAGACAGAATTTTAATCATATATGGAAACAATTTATTTGCATATCAAACATACACATAATTCTAATATAAAATTTGTGTATTTCTGTGTACATATTAGATCTTGTATATAATGTATATATAATGCATACTTTCCTAGAGGTTAACTGTCCTTTTCAGCATGGAATCAATTTTGTATTGTTGTACTGATCCAACAGAAGCTTAAACTCTTAACGTTGGGTGTTAAAACACTGAATTAAGTAGCTTTGAAATGACACAAACTGACAGTATAGATTAATACTTCAAGTATAATGCTTGAAAGCACAGCAGAATCCAAGCCTTTTTTAAAAATCAGGATATAGGTTTCAACCTAATATCTTAAGCTGTTTGCTGTTAGACACTGCAGCTGGAGCACTGTAGTTGGCATTTTGAACCTAACCACTTTGGATTCCCTGTCAATGCATTCAATGTAGTGAATGAGCAACATTCACCTTTGTCCACTCATTAAAGTTTAGCAGTATATGCAGGCCAAAGCTTTGTAGAGCTATTATCTCTGATATATGACATGATCTTATTTCTAGGTTATCTGATTAGCGTGGGCTTTCGCAAATGGATTAGATCTTGTCTAACTCCTTTACATAGCAACAGTTTCAAAAATGTGGAGTCTTTCTTGTTTAAATTTACTTTTTTTCCCCCCTACCTAGTTGAACCTGTTGTGAGCTTAACAAAAGGACCAAACCCTCTAATAGATGGTGCAAATCGGACAATAGCAGCCACTTGTACAGCAGCCACTGGAAAACCTGCTGCAGAGATTGACTGGGAAGGAGGTCTTGGTGAAATGGAATCCAGCTCTACTTTGTTTCCAAATGAAACACTGACAGTTG